TGACCAGGATGGTCTCGATCTCTTGACCTCATGATCCACCCGCCTCGGCCTCCCAAAGTGCTGGGATTACAGGCTTGAGCCACCGCGCCCGGCTAATATGTATTATTTAATACAGCAACAGCACTGTACTATTTCGGGACCTTCATATTGTTTTATGTGTTAAGACTGTAATGGAAGGGAACCCTTACATCAACCCTGAAACCGGGAGACTACTGAATCTCTCTGTGTTAATTATGTGTCCCAGTACCAAAAGCCTGCTGTGAACTTGTTAAGTCCGTGAAGAGGGAGTTTTGGTTTTGGTTGTAACAAAGGTGTTTCCATAAAACCCAGCCTTCGCAACCCCTCTTCTGTCACTAATGAGATCTAAGATATTCTGCAACCTCACGGCTCTAAACTCAAAATCTTTTTTTTTTCCCTGTTAATAGAATTATCTGTTGACCAAGGTTTTCAGAAATGCCAAAAGAAACTTTTAGCAGTTTCTGGATGGGGAAGTTATTTGAAGATTGTTGCCCTTTCTGCCTTCCTTACATAGTCCTTTAATGCTGCATACTCCCCTTTTCTTGGGCAGTAACACTCTCCCTACTTTTTAATTGCCAGGAAGGAAGAATGATCAGAACATGTATGATTATATAATTATTTGCATATGCACAGTTGACAATCTAGTGTTAGTCAAATAAATTGCCAGCTCAATTTTATCTGAAATACCCTGCTACCCTAAAGCTGCTTTGGTATCTCCATTAGGTGAAGGCCTGTTTCCTGTAAGTACACATGGCCAGGAAGCAGCAATGGCCAGCTCATGGACCATTTTGTTTTCCATGATTAGTGTTGTTTGAATGATTAGCTTTTTATTCCCCCTCCCTTTGTTATTGGACACACTTACCATTGACAGGTTCACATGTCTATTGAAGACATATACTCATTCCTGAGATCATCTCTCTTTTCAGACCCCTTTTGATTTACATAGAAAATGGACAGCAATAGAAGAAACAGTAAAAGTGAATCCTTGCAAACATATGTAACATATGTACAAAATTATACCACACCAATTAATATTGGAGAGACTGAAGTGATAGTAGCTAGTGGGGCTTATTTTTGAGTGGCATTGCATCTCATGGTCATTATGAGGGAAGAGGCATTATCTCTTCAAATCACAATTTTTGTTCTGTGACAGAGGAGTACAAGGGGGAAGCTCTGGGGCATGTAGGAAAAAACCCCGCCCAACCATCACCTCCAAACTACAAGCCAAATGCAGTTGGTATAAGGGAGGGAGATACTTCGTGGGTTGGGCTACTGTGGAGTGATGTGTCTTTGGCTTTTCCCTTGACTCGGGGCTGCATCACTACATAAAGATGTTTATTAGAAGTTGTTGGTCTATACTGGGATGATACTATGTGAACAGAATCATGGGGTAGATATAGTCTCTGACATCTGCACAGAATATAGTGGATAAAAAAAATTAAAATTGAAGATGGAGGATTACCATCACCCCTTTGTGATTTATCATAGGCTCAGATTATCCAGCATGAACCTCCATAGTTTCCTCTTTGCTGAAAACCCTTGAAATGCAGAAATCCCTTTGTTTCTCCACAGTATAACTATTGCACATATATTTGCTCAGTTTTTGGCTGTTGTTACATATTTTATAAATCATTCATCATTAAGGACAATCTCTCTTGGAGTGTCAACTCCCAAATCTGGAAAAACTATGTCTCGTTTGCATCATTTCTGCAGTATTTAGCATAGAATCTGAGAATCTGGGAATTTATAAAAGAGACTTCAGTTGACATGGAATACTATTTTGTTTATTGACTACACCTATTTTCCCTATGGTTTAGCCATCTCCCTGATTGGAAATTTCTTTTGCTTTTTGGAGAGGGCTTTATTATTTTATTTTCTCAAAAAGGGAATGAATATTTTTAGGCTTCCTGAAACTTGTTAGATATACATGATGCCTGGGCCTTTGCAGGAGCCTCACAGGTTGAAATGATCAGTGTGTGTGAACCTAAATCAAACCCTTCCCTCTTGGACTTGATGAATGATGATAGACATTGACTGTCCTACTTTATATCTTGCAGGTGATCATTTGAAGATCTGTCTCCAGGGTTCTACCTGCTGCTCTGAAGAGATGGAGGAGAAGTACAGCCTGCAAAGTAAAGAGGATTTCAAAAGTGTGGTCAGTGAACAGTGCGATCATTTACAAGCTGTCTTTGCTTCACGTTACAAGAAGTTTGATGGTATGTTATTCAAGTCATGTAAGAGCCGACAGTTAAGTCTGTACTGTAGCATTTTCGCAGCTCCTCTGCTCCTTCAGTGCTTAAGTTTTTCTCCCGAGATGTTGTCCTTGTTGGATACCAGAGACAAGTTAGCCCTGTAGCCTCATGGCTAGAACACTTCCAGATGCACTGGAATCTGTATGGTAGGCATTATGGAAATATGGTCACAAGGAGCCAAAAAATAGATTATTTTAACTTAAATGCTTTCATTTATTTTCTTGGCTGAACGCAGAATAGTGTTGTTGACGCAAGTCCCTTAAAAAAAAAAAAAAAAGAGACTTCCTAATAAAAAGCAGGCATCTGAAAACTGTCTTAGTCAAAAGAGCCAAAGAGAATTTACAGATGCTGGACTTCAAATTAAATTTCAAAATGGATCCCCAAAGACAACTAGAATTCCTAGAAGTTTTGCAGAACACAGATAGGATTAAAGTTCTTGAGTTTCCATGCAACAGAGACCTAAAAGTAGCTATTTTACTATAGTCTTCATTAAGCTGGGCTCCACCCTCAGCCTCACATTAGCCGAAGCTCTGGCATAGTCTTTCCATGTGAAAGCTGTGATAGAACCCGTTCTAATCACCTGTGCCAGACATGAGTTCTCACAGGCACACTTTCTCTTAATATTGAAGAAATAGCCAATATGAGCTAATTGAGAGTGTACTTTGATCCTTTCTGAACAATGGCACAGATAACAGACTTTAAAAAGAATATGGAGTCCAAAACACCTCAGAATTCTTTTACTTGGTGCTGTTCACTCAGTTTGAAGATTGTTATGAAGTAGATTTAGTTTTAAGAGAAATGATTTCCTTTGTGCCTGTTTTAAAGGCCATTCTAATTACATAGTACCTTTGGAACATGCTTTTCTTGACATTATGTGTGGTGAAAAGTACAAGACAAATTTTCTAGATATGAAATGTCTCTGAGTATTTCTGCAAAGCACTTGTTACCATGGCAAGAAAGTTAGATTAAATTAGACTTGATATAACTGATAAGGCAGTCCTCAGTTAAAGAACAGGTTGTATTTCAAATGTTGGCTTTGAGATTTGTTATTTCAGACTTATAGCCAATTTAATAAGTGTTAGTTAGGTTCCCAGGCAAGACCACAAAAGCACATTTAATTTATAATGTAGTTGAACTAAAACGCTGTCTATGTGGTATACTATTGATCCTACCTATTTTTTGAAACACATTGTATGCAAAATTGTGACTTAGTTCTATCTCGTTTCCCTGGATGAATGGGGACAATTTAGATATCTGTATATTCTTCTTATTACCCATATTCCCCTACATATATGCTGTAACTATTAAGAGTATTTAACAGTGTGTTAACACCATGTGAAAATGGGTATTACTGGCAAAATATATCATTAGTCCTCCCTGTCTCTCCTGATCACTGAATTATTATTGAAAAGAATGATGTTTTCTTGACTATGGCATTTCTCATTCAAGATAATAACCTAAGCCTTTTATTTTACTTTGGGGAGAAAACTTAGAAAGATAATTAAATGGTCATCTTTGAAAACGTAAGATGCTGATATTTGAAAATCACCACTTAGGGGCTTCATAATGGAATTTAGAAGGAAAAAAATTCTGCTCTGTAGAAATAACTCTCCTGTTGGCAGCACGATGTAGTGGAGATAAAGTTGTTTCCAAGTTCCAAGGCCTTCTACTGCAAGTCACCTCATTTCTTCGTTAGATTTGTATCTTTCTGGCATGGAGCCCATAGTCATTGCCTATGGGCCTGCTGGTTTAGCTATTCTTTTCCCTTCTCGCTCACCATGGTTTTATAGCACTACTCGTATGAGTCCAATGTGTAGTTTTTTTTTCCCCCTTAAACCATACAGAGAAACTTTATCAGTAAGTGTTAACATATGTTTTTTTAAAAAGGATAGAAAAACAGTTTTTCTTGCTCTTCCCTACCAGGCTTCACATTCAATAAATATGTTAACACTATGCCTTTATCAGTTTCAAAACATTAATGTTTATGAAACTCCAGTTTGTTTTTTCTGACTTAAAATTAAAATATGGCATAGGCTGGGTGTGATGGCTCATGCCTGTAATCCCAGCGCTTTGGGAGGCCAAGGTGGACAGATTGCTTGGGCCCAGGAGTTCAAGACCAGTCTGAGCAACATGGCGAAACCCCGTGTCTACTAGAAACACGAAAATTAGCCAGGAGTGATGGTGTGTGTCTACGGTCCCAGCTACCTGGGAGGGTGAGGTGGAGAGGATCACTTGAGCCTGGGAGTTCAAGGCTGCAGTGAGCCAAGATTGTGCCACTGAATTCCATCCTAGGCGACAGTGCAAGACCCTGTCTCAAAATAAATAAATAAAATAATATAAAATATGGCATAGTCAATAAAGTTAGGGAACATAGATAAAAGTTTTCTTTTTTAAGAGGTAGTAGCTGAAATGCATTTGATCTGGAGATGAGTATACTGAAATGCTGGAATACTGGAATGCCAGAATACTTTGCATATTCTCTCCAAGTTAGGTTAAAGAAACGATTAGATAATTTTAATTTTATATGCCATAACCTCAGTTGACCCAGCAAATCATAGTCCCCTAGTGGGTGCTGCATTGATTGACTTTTTTTTTTTTTTTTTAAGGTGGAGTCTTGCTCTGTTGCCCAGGCTGGAGTGCAGTGTCACAATCTCGGCTCACTGTAACCTCCACCTCCTGGGTTCAAGCAATTCTCCTGTCTCAGCCTCTCAAGTAGCTGGGATTACATGTGCACACCACCACACCCGGCTAATTTTTGTATTTTTAGTAGAGATGGGATTTCACCATGTTGGCCAGGCTGGTCTCGGACTCCTGACCTCAGGTGATCCACCTGCCTTGGCCTCCCAAAGTACTGGGATTATAGGCATGAGCCACCACGCCCTGTGATGATTAACTAATTTTTAAGGCTGTCAATTAGGACTTGCCAGTACTTTTTAAGGCCTGACAATCCAAGGGCATTGATTAACAGGCTATAGAATATACCTTGACTCTCAGAAATTCAAGGGTGGGTGCTTTGGTCAAAGAAGTATCCAAACCCTTATAATAGCTAAACCCTGGATCATTGGTGTGAATGGAAGAGAGAAAGTTGGACAGACTAAAAAGATGGTGGTAGGGAACGGGAACCAAGATGGAGCAGTGAGATTGCACAGAGACAGCTGGGGACATATCGTAAGGAAATAGTAAAAGGACATATGGAAACATTTTGGGTCAAGCAACTTCAAAGGAGCACCTTTTGTCATCTCCAAGCTTACAGTGTAAATTCAAAGTGGTGATCTTGACTCCAGACAACTTCATCTATCATCAAAACCTGTCTACGTCTGTGAGATAATACTTCTTTTAAGGAAGAAACAATTACATTTTAGAAAATAAACTTTTCAACAAAAATAAAGTTTGGGAGCTTGTAGAGAGTTAGCCTTCTGTTACCGGAAATCATCCCATTGTCCCAGTTTTTCGTAATTCTTCCTCGATTGACCCTGATCAGGGTTCTGGTGTCAGCTCTGGCATTTTTGGAGTCATTGGATTTGAGGGATGAGTCTCTTCTCCAGTTCCCTTACCTCTAAGGCCTTTTTTGTTCTGTACGCTTAATTTTCTGTTGTTTGCACATCTCAGGAGACTGTACAGTCTATATCAGTTTTTAAGATACAAACGTGTGTGTGTGTGTGTGTGTGTGTGTGTGTGTGTGTTCAGACTTGGGTGAAATACAAGAGAACACTTCCTCCCCCTCTAAGATTATCAGGTTTCCCATATTTTAAATATGTATTACTGAATTTAAAGACTGGCCTCTGTGTTTTTCTATGCTGTATTTTTTTTAAACCTACTTTTTAAACTTAGGATGTTTAATACCAGAAATCAGCTATCTGCTGGCGACATAGAGCCAGATCGTGGTAGTGACAGAGCTAGCTGCTCCCCCTCTTGGCCAATTCTGGGAATTTTTTTGATAGTAGAGCTGCTAATTAACATAGCTGAATCAGTCCTCTCATGAATATGCTAATCACATACTTAATTCAGGAGGAAGTTAGGGAAAATTGCTTGGCAAAGGGAAAAGAATTAGAAGTGGGGCATAATCCGTGTTTTGGGACCACAGTGTAAAGACCCACCCCCAAATGCCTGGCATTTTGTGAGAAAATAGTTGTTTTTAAAAGAAGCGTAGTTAAAAACCCAAATAGGTTAAAGTGATTAGAGCTGCCATATTAAATGTATTTCTGAATTTCATAGTAAAAATGTTATAGCTATGAAGTAATATTGCTACGTAACTGCCTATATCAAACTGTAGATATTTTGCATGTTTATAGAACTAAGGAAATGGATGTTGTCTGATGCTAATCTATTGGGAAAACTCCGTTAATTTGTCATTTTTAGAGCAAAATTTGGAACTTTGGATGGGAGGCAGTACACAGGGAATTATCCTAGTTCTGCAGTGAACCCACTGTGACTGTGACCTGTGGCAATTAACTGAGTCTCAGTTTTCCCATCCATAAAATGAGGGGGTTGAGCTAGATGCTCTCTAAAACCCTTTCAATTCTACCAATTCTGTGAATCTTTTAAACATGTGACTAGACCAGCTGCTTTAGTGAAAGGCCTTACAAGATGTTAATTAGCCGTCTGTATGGTACCCTCTATTTTCCCTCTATCATTTTTTAACTCGCAGCTACTTTCACCAGGTCTTTGAAAAACCCTCCCATGAGCCTGAAGCTTGTTAACTTGAATAGTAGAAATTTTCTGAATTAGCTTAAAACGCACATGAAAGAAATAATTGTCTGTCCCATCTATCTGCATGGGCCAAGTGTAAACCAAGCAGCTACCCTTCCCTGAAGCCCTAAGGCCCCTTGTTTCCTATCACTTCACAGAGGCAGGGCACAAAGCACTCTTCAGACTTAGCCGAATCTGTGTTTTAATCACTGACTGCAAATTTTCTGTAGTTCATATTAGCCATTAACCAGTGTAGAAGCTCAGTGAGTGGGAGGCATTAGAATTTATAGGCCCATGAGAGGCATGACCTCAGTGGAAGCGAGCTGTCCACTCACCGTAAAAGACAGATATGTCCAGCTAAGCTTCATGGCCATTGACTAAGCTGAAATTTCTGGAATTTCCTCACCCCTGACTTTATTTTCCACCTATATAGATAATTATCATTTATCCAGCCACACTTACTGACTAAAGATCCATCTGAGAGGGTTTTAGGTTGAAAAAAGTCTAAAACATCCTCAAAGCAAGTGTGTCATAGAAATGTACAGCCTAATATATAACATTGATTGGTTTTTAATCCTCACCTCACATTTCATTAAGACATTAAAAAAATTCATTACTTTCTAAGATCTGTGCTACAGTACAGCAGGCAACATTTCATAGTCTGAGTAGCCTATGAAAGGTAGAGAGAAAAGTACAGAGAAAGACATGAGGCCTCCTGGCCTTCCTGCAAAGGTAGTGTTCCTTCCAGATTATGCCAGTGGTCGTTGATTTAGTTTGAAAGCACTGCTACTCTTTCCTTCGTGATTCTATTTTATTTTCCTTCCATATGAAAGAGACTAAAAAGCTGGCTACTTTTGCTAATTCTTTTACAATCTCTGTGAAACTTGACCAGAATGAGGCACTGCCAACCTACTGTAATCAAATCAAGAGCTCAGACAAAATGCACACATTTCTCTATTGACAAAGGTTTTCTGCCTTTTGAGTTGTTTTCTGAAGTGTGACCAATTGTGGCTCTAGCATTGGCTATCTCATGGGATTGAAAATGCTTGTACAGCTTCTACAGAGCCCAAAGCACTTTAACTTTGGGCCTCTCCTAATTAGCTTTGACTTCTTCAGAAGGCATGACATTAGCAAGAAGCAATGGATCTGTCTGGAGGGAAGTAAATGCATAGAAGATCTTCAGATGAACTGCTTTTATCAACTCTGTTGGTTCATTGCTCTTTGGGCCTGGGAGTTTGAAATGCTGTTCATCACTGCTTGCTCTACTTCTGTGTGTCCGTCTGTCCAGGCAAAGAACAGGACTTAGTTGATCTAGCACTGACTCCAACTAATTGACTGAGAGAATTCCCTATCCAGACAGGCTTCAGCCCTTTCTTGTTCATTGTCCACACCCATCTTCATCACCCTCTCTCTTGAAAAAATTACCAGAGCAATGGAAACTCTTATAATAAATATGAACCTAACAGCAAGGATGGAACATGGACACACCCTTTCTGCAGATAGATTTGGCAATGTGTCAACAGTTTTGAATATGTTCATACTCTTTCATTTAGTAATTCCATTTCTGGGTGTGTATCCCAGGGAAAAACAGATCTGCATAAACACGTATGTACTATGTTAATAGGATGTTCATCACAGCATTATTTCTGGTAGTAAGAAATTGGAAATAAGCCTATATGCACCACAATGATTCTATTGTGCTCCATCCACTTGGTGTCATTGTATGCAGTCATTAAAAAGGATGCTTCTGCCAGGCTCATGCCTGTCATCCTAGCAGTTTGGGAGACCAAAACAGGTGGATCACTTGAGGTCAGGAGTTTGAGATCAGCCTGGCCAACATGGTGAAACCCCATCTGTACTAAAATACAAAAATTAGCCGGGTGTGGTGGCATACTATGCCTATAATCCCAGCTACTCGGGAGGCTGAGGCAGGAGAATCGGTTAAACCCGGGAGGCAGAGGTTGCAGTGATTCGAGATCGCACCACTGCACTCCAGCCTGGGTGACAGAGCAAGACTCTATCTCAAAAAAAAAAAAAAAAACCCGATGCTTCTGAAGAAATTTTAATCACATCGAAAATACTAACCATATAGTGTTACATAAGAACAGGGTGTAAATACATTTTTATTTCAACCATGTGACCACATGTATTTTCATAGGAAAAAGGCAGGAAGAAAATTTGATAAGTCATTGTTACTGCCTTTTAGCAATGAGGATTATGGGTAATTTATATTTTCTTCATACCCTTCCAGATTTTTCAAGTTGCTACAATGAGGAATACTTTTTAGGAAAAAAATTAAATATGTCTGTATGAAAATTATGAGAACTGCTTTGGTGAAGTTTTAAAAATAATGTTTTTCTTTTTTATTTAGTATTACAGTGCTCACTGTGGACATTTTGGAAAAGCAAAAAAATATATCAAAGCCTCCATCAATTAAATAGAGTAAAGGGAATAAAGGGAAATAAAGTTACCTTTGAAAGCATGAAGGTATATCACCTTTCTGATTATAAAATGTCACTGAAAGATCTGGGGAAACAATCAAGAAAGATAGAATGAAAAAAATTACCCTTGATCCCCAGCACCCAACCGTCACCCCAGTATTTACCTCATCTTTTTGCGTACATAGATAATACATATACATATATGCAAATTGGTATCATAATGATTTGCTATTTTGTGTTCTAATTTTTTTTCTCTCTCCC